GTCAGGCCCAGGCTGGGGACGATCTTGGTTTTGTGTCTGAGAGTGGGGTAGGACGAAGGCCCTGAGCTGGCTCCCACACGACAGCAGAGGCATCGCAGGGTTTTTTACTAAAATGACAAAAAGTTAAAAAAAAAAAAAAAAAGGCGGCATCCTCCGCAGTGTGTTCTCTGTACACAGCGAGGTGGTGGGGTGCAGCCGCCTCACTTCGTCCCTGTCCCCAGCTTCTGCTCGTTTTGTGTTGGTGGGCCCGGTCCCTCCAGGTTGGCACAGACCCCGCGGTGCTGCGAGTGCCCGGGGGGCCTGGCTGCCCTCAGGAGGCACCGGGCCAGCGACGGGCCAGGATGGCAGGTTTTGATTGCATGCCTTCGCTGTAACGAGTCCACTTTGCTTTGGTGTCTCTTACGCCGCCCTCCCCACCCTGCCTCCCTCCCATCGTGGATAGCTTTTAATGCTCTGTTACATTGACCCCCCCACCACAGGCTGGGATTTCAATACATAAACAAACACCTATAACAGCATAAGCCACGCGGTACAAGCGGGAGGGGCTTCTCCAGAGACAGAAGACACCGAAAGCAATACCTCTTGTCAGCCTTCCTCTTTTGTACTTGGGACACACGCAGACGTCACGGAAATGAACAAGCCCCACCCAGTGTATCCCTTGTCAAATAACTGTGAGCAACCTTAGTTCTCGAACAATAAATTCCTTCAGTAAAAATACCCGACGCCAGTCTCCGTCCAGGCGGGTGGGGCTGGGATGTGGGACAAGCGGGACCAGCTCTTGTCCCCAACACACGCTCCTCTGGGCTCTGCCGGGTGTGGATGGCGCTTGGCGCCCCCTTCTGCCCCGGATGAAGATGATAGACCCCTGTGCAGGGTCAGTGGTCTGCCCCCAGGCTGAGCAGGGATCACATGCTGGGCTGGGGGCAGGAGAGGCCCCCGGGGGGGGGGGGGCCAGGGAGGTGCCACCTGAGGCTGACACGGAACACCACCCTGCCTGGCCACTACGGCTCTGCTGCCCCCCCCAGACCTCATGGGGTCACTCTGGCATCTGGAGAACGGACCTCCTTTCTGCTCTTTGCTTGGTAAGGGGCGGATGGGGCACCGTGACCCAGCCCTGGAAGTGATGGGCCGAGGCAGGTGGGCAGCCCCTGGAGGATTTGGGCTGGCCTCTCCCACCACGCCCGCCAGCCACCCCTCTGCTGCTGCAGCATGAAGGCCAAGTCCAGACCCCAACAAGCCCCAGGTCACAGGGGAGCAGCTGGGAGTCCAGCCACCACACAGCCTTGACGATGGGTGAGGAGCAAACCACGCCGCCCGCGGAGCCCTCCCAGGCCTCCCGCGCAGGCACCCCGTCCCCGTATGTGAAGGGGATCAGGCACAGCGTGGCCACGGGGCTTGGCAGCAGGGCCCGACTGCACCCAAGGGTCTCATCAGAGCAGGGTCCCACCGCCATAGCACTGACAAGTGGGGCTGGATGGCTCTGTGGGGGGGGGGGGCCCGACCTGCATCGTCTCTGGTCTCCGCCCCCCCACCGGCACTAGATGCCCATAGCTGCCCCCCAACCCTGCGTGACAAAACTAGTCCCGATGTCGCCGTGGGTCCCCTGGTGGGCAGAATCCACCCTAGAGTCCACGCTCTTACCTCCTGTGCCGTCTTGCTGGAGGACAGTGCTGGCCTGACGCTCAGTGAGGCGGCTCTGCGGGGACGGCAGCTGCCTCCAGCTCTGCTCAAGGCCCAGCATGTGAGCAAGAATCAGGGGGCCTGGGACTGGGTGGGTTCTTCCTGGGTCAGCTGTAGAGCGGCACCCTGCCTTTTGGGAGGTGGGCGCCCAGAAGGTACTTCGGAGGTGCGGAGGGGCCAGGCTCCAGCGCGGTCACTGAGCCGCATGCGTCCCCTTAGCTTCAGCTGAAGGACAGGCTGGAGGAGGGGGTCTGGTTGCTACAGTTCAGCCAGGCCTGGTCATCCAGCCGCTGGGCTCCCGGGTTGCTGGCCACGGGAAAAGTCTCCCTGACCAGTGGTTCTGCACCTGCACCCGACACAGACCTCATCTTCCTCTAACACTGGCGACGTGTCGGCCTTCAGGGGCCACATGGCAGGAACCCCCGAGCATCACGGCACACCCAACAGACCGGCCCGCCTTCCGCCTGCCCGCCGCCACACCCCTTCAGCAGGAAGGCCACGCCCTGCAGTCCTGCTCCAGACACTAGGCTCTCTCTCGGTTGTAAGAAACAGAAACCAAGCAAGTGAAGCCCAAAACTGTTGGTATTAACATCCACTAATACAAAGTATGTATAAAATAAAAACCAATCCCTAAAAACTATGTAACAGACACTGTCCTGAGCACTTTGCACTGAGCATTGAGCCAAATGGTCCTCATGCTAGTTCTGTAAGGTAGACACGGAAAGGGGTGCTTAAACCCAGAACGGGATGCTGGTGGGTCTAGCGCCCGGTGAGGGGCTGGCCTCTCGGGCCTGACGCGTTCCAGCCGCTGCTGGCCTGGGGTCCTGGTGAACAAATCAGCGGTTGTGCATCCACCAGAGTCACGGCGGAAGGGAGGCAGAGGAAGGGAGCCTGACGCGTGCCCATGCTCAGGGGCTCTGGGTGCCGGCAGGGGGCAGGGGCAGGGCGCAGACGCCCGCGAGGGGCACGTGCTCGGCGCTGCGGAGAGCCGGCCCGGACCCTGTCCCCGCGCTCGCTGACAGTGGAGGCAGCGGGCCCCACAGGCTCCTGAGCTGAGGTGGAGCGACTGCTGGTGTGGGAGGCCAGCTTCAGGGAGGGGTGCTACGGCACCCGGGCTCACGCATCTCCCACGCCGGGGAGCTCAGCACGAGTGGCCAGGCCCTTGCTGGTGGTTCTGCCCTCGCCCCAGGCCACCAGGGGTGCCATCACCAAGTCCAGTGCCCGCCCCCCCTTCATCCAGCCCACTCCCCACCATCAACCCAAATTTCTTCTGGTGTGATTCATCAAAGGGTGCAGGTTAGCAGGGAGCAGAGGAGACGGCCAGGGACAGGAAGGGCATCAGGGCAGTGACGTGGGCTGGAGGAGAAAGGCAGCTGGGGCGGATGGAGGCAAGGGAGGGAGCGCCTCCGACCCGGGGGCCGTGCCGGCCTTGGGGCCCGCGCGGGACAGCGGAGTCTACACTGCTGGTCACAAGCCCACGTGCTGCTGTCTGTCGAACTCCTCCTCCGTGTTAGGCCCTGGACTAAGTGTCTTAGAGGTCATGTCCTTGTGGCCCCAGAATGACCGCACGAGAGCTCTGTGGCTCATCTTCAACACGTATTAGTTCCCTGTTGCGGCCCCAACAAATAGCACAGACCTAAAACACAAATTGCTATCTTAAGTTCTGGAGGTCGAGCACTGGGTCTCCCTGGGCTAAAATCAGCGTGTTGGCAGGGCTGGTTCCTTCTGGAGGTTCTGTGGGAGGATCCATTTCCCGGCCCTTCCCAGCTTCCGGGGGCACCTGCGTTCCTTGGCTTGGGGCCCTCCTCCATCCTCACCGCCAGGGACATCAGGCTGAGTCCTCTTGCTGCCTGCCGGTCCTCTGGTTCCTTCTTCTGCCCCCTCCTCCAGTTTTAAGGAATCTTGTGATTATACTGGCCCAGATAATCTCTGCATTTCAAGTTAAACTGATTAGCAACTTATCTGCAACTTTAACTCCCCTCTGCTGTGGAAGGTGCTATGCTCACAGATTCTGGGGACTAGGGTGTGGATATTTGGAGGGGGCATTATTCTGGGTGTGGAACTGCCCTCTAGCAAGTTCCACATCTATCTCACATGGAAAACACACTCACCCCAACCCGGGTCCCCAAACTCTCAGCAGCATCAAGTCAAGCCCCAAATGTCATCTAAGTCACCTAAATCAGGTATGGGTGAGACTCTGAGTATGATCCATACTGGTGCAAAATCCTTTCCTTCGAAACTAGAAGTGCTACCTGCTTCCAGAATGCAAAGGTTACAGACATTCCCATCCCAAAAGGGAGACAAGGGAAGGAGGTGGGCATCACAGGTCCCACGCAACTTCAAAATCCAGCCAGGCAAACTCCATGAGGTGCCGTCAAGGCCTGGGAAGAACCGTGTGGCTCAGGCTCTCCCCTCCGGGCCATGCTTTCGTCTAAAGAAACACGGCGTCAGTTTGCAGCTGACAGTTCACCAGTGTTCCTGCCCACGGGGCCTGGGCGTCCAACAGCCTTGTACTTCATCCTCCCTCCGTGCCCTGCGGTCCCAGCTGCCAGGGTTTCTGACGGTGTGGCTCTCCTGTGTGTGTCATGGGGATTTGCTCCGTAAGCCCAGACGCGCCTCCAGATCCTTACAAGGAAATCGTCTTTTCTGTTCCGGCTTTTGCGGAGATGTGTGAGGTGTCTACTAGTCACATGCACGATCTCTTCAAAGTTCCCGCCACGTGACTGACACTCTGAGCTTGCTCGGCTCTCTGGGGTGTTAGCAAAAGGCTGTCCGGCTACGGCCTCGACTTGTTCTCTAGAGCACATTTTTTCTGGCCACGAACCTCCTGATTTTAGTGTCTTCTGTCACTTGGCTTGGCTACAAAGCTCCCATGTTGTCAAGGGGCAGAGAGCCCTTTTGTTCAAGAGCTCTGCCTTCTGACGGGCTTCCCTCTCCCACGTCGTATGAGCAGCAAGAAAGGAGGCTGCCCCTTCCACACCGTGCTTGGCAATCTTCTTGGCTAAACATCCAGGCCAACGGCCCCCGAGTCCTGCCCTCCGAGGATGGTGGGGAACTCAGCGGGGCTTTCTGCAACGTGACACTCTGCGTCCAGGGTGCCCTCTCCTCCGCACCCACGGACACGGTCGTCCCTTCCCTGCGCCCACCCCAGCAGTGCCTGTCACATGCCTGTTTCCCCGGACAGGTGCTCATGACGGTTTTAGGCGTTCCTCAGGGCGACTCCGCCAGGTCCCCTCTGTGCGGCCCCTCGTTTACGTGTGAGTCTTTGGTAGCGGCGTCACGGACATCCTCTACCGTGCCCCCCAAAATTCTTCCAGCCTCAGCGCGAGGCCGCGTCTACGCCACGCTTGCCACGGTGGCACTACCCCCCGGGGACCGCGGTCTGCGCTCAGTTCCCGTCGCTGACACGGCAGGGCCTCATCCCCGTCTGGAAGTCGGAGTCTGAACTGGACCTCACTGGGCCCCCACCCAGGTGTCAGCAGGGCTGGTTCTTCTTGAGGCTCGCGTGGGGGAAAACACCTCCTCCTCCTTCCAGCTTCTCAAGGTGCGGCACGCCCGGCTCACGGCCCCTTCTCCCTCCCACCTGTGGTGGCCAGGTCTTTCTCACGCCACCCTCCTCTGCTGACAAGGACCCTTGTGCCGTGTCTCGGCGGCCAGCACAGAGCTAACAACTAGGCGGGGTGGGGGGAGACGGGCTGTCCGGGCAGAGCTGAGACGCCACCGGGAGTGCTCCGGGCACGGAGCCCAGCTGCCGGCGGGACCCAGGAGGGCCCCACGCAGACACCTCGCCATGCGGGCCCAGAAGGCCTCCCCGCAGCCCAAGTGGGCCAGGACGCTCTGGCTCTCGCAGCAAAGAGCCCGCTAGCTGGTGGACAGCACAGGGCATCGCCCTCACCCTCGGAGGAGTGCAGGCTGCTCCTCACCCTGGCTGCCTGTCCCTTCCCGGGAGGCCTTCTGAGGCCCGGTGACCAGTGCTGTACCCACGACCCCCATGTGCCCAGGGGTTCCACAAGTCCTTCCTGAGTCACAGAAACATGACCGTGTGTGTCCCAGACCCCGTTCTGCAGATACAGAGCTCATGCACACACACACACGCGTGTGCATACACCGATCTCAGACTCCATCAAGCAGCTTGAGCTAGAAATCCCCGTGTCCTCCCCGCACCAGCGGCGTCCACCCTGGCCAGCCACAGAGCCCCTGACTGCTCTCGGGCCCAGTCTTGCCACCTCAGGCCTGCACTCAGCAGCCAGACCCCACTCCTGGAGACACACTGGACACAGCTGTTGCCCGGCCTGCCCCCACCCCAGCCCAGGACACCGCCCAGAAAGGCCAGTGGAGCCAGGCCCTGGCCTGCTGCCTTGCCCCAGGAGGTGGTCCTCGGCACCTCAGGCCAAGCAAGACCCCTACCTCTGGCTCCCACACCCAGCCCTGTGGTCAAGTTCCTGAGGCCTCTACTCAGGGCGTGCATGCCTAGAGAAGTGAAATGACCAGCAGGGGAGGCGGGGAGGGGCTGAGGCCCACACAGCCCAGCAGGCTGAGGTCACAGTGAGGCCCAGACAGCAGAGGGGAAGAGAGCATGACAGGGACGGGGTGACCTGAAGGTGGCGCCGGGGCCAGGCCTTGCTCAGGAGGGGCTATGGCTTCCCTGCTGGTCACAGAGCCAGCTGCAGGGTTTGGGGAAGCAGCGGGGTAGTGGGGCTACGCACGGGTCAGAGAAGCCCAGCCCTCTGGGAGTGAACATCTGCAGGCCTCTGTGGAAGAGGCCAGGGCTAACGGGATGGTGAGGTCTCCTATCTGGTGACAGGTGCAGTCTGGACGATGCAGATGTGTCCAGTGATTAGGGGACAGAGGGGAGGAGGCTTCCCCACAACCTGGAGCTCCTGACCAGACAGGGACGGAAACATGAGCTCCAGTGAGATGGCAGCAGGCCCCGAGGGGTACAGCAGGGCCCAGGAGCCTTCTTGCAGGGCAAGCAAGATTGCCCAGGGGTTCAGAACATGAATGAGTTCAGCACATTAAAGTCATGTTGAAACAATTCTGATGCCTGCTCTCCGTGTCCAGGGACTGAGTCAGTGGGGTGGAGACTGGTTCAAGCACCTGGGAGTTTTAAAGTCACCCCCAGCTGACCATTGTGCAGCCACCGGGGGAGGTACTCTGGTGCAGGGAGGGGTCAGGGAGACGGTGCGGGACCCTGGAGGGGAGGTGGGGGCCAGAACGTGAAGACAGGGTACTCCAGGGTACACCTGCATTTTGTGGTCGGCTCCAGGACTGTCAGATGGGGGGCAGTTCTCAGGGGCAAGAGGAGGAACCATCACCAGGAGAAGGCAGGCGGGCCTGGTGGCCACCACAAGCTGCAGAGGTCCCACCGGTCATGGGAGGCAGAGGTGGGGGTGGGCTCCGCTCTCCAGCTAGGCCCTGGGGCTGGTGATGGGCCAGGAAAGCAGAGGAAGGCCACAAGCACGTTTTGCAGTGGCCGAACTTAAGGGCCAGGTGAGCGGCAGGAGGACAGAAACCGAGGACCTACCTGGTGGGGAGAAAGCTGGGGGTGGGAAGGGTGGAGGAGCTGTAGCGAGTCAGGAGACAGAGACCAGGGCCCCCACCATTTAGGGCTGTGTGGGTGTGGGGGGTGGTGAGCATGACAGCCATGGACAGCCAGAGAAGGCTGTCCCCAGGTGATACGTCAGGGTAGGAGGGCAGGGCCCCCTGCCGGAGCCCCGTCTTCTCTCTTCTCTGCCCACACAGGGCCTAGACAAGCTCCAGGGCTCAGTTTAGGTCCCGCCCCGCCCCACCCCTGCACTCAGCCCGCTCCCGAGCTCTCCTCTCTGCTCATCCCTCAGACCACAGTGCCCAGGCGAGGGCTGGCCGGCCTTCACAGCAGAGCCCCCGGGGCCAGGCTGGCCAGGACCCCCCCACCCCGGCCCGTCCCAGCACACTCTCTAGGGTGCCTGTCACCTGCACAAGAGGGCAAAGTACAAGCAGAGTGGTCAAGGCCCCCTGGAGATGCAGGAAACAAGGCATGTGTCGTCCCCCCCCCAAACCCACCCCACTGCCAGCACCCCAAGTCCTGCAGGTTGGCTGAGGACACAGGGCAGCAGGGGAGTCTGTGGCTGACCCTGGCAGGAAGGGTCCAGGCTGGGGTGGGCAGGGGCCACCTGAGGGGGCAGGAGGCAGGCGACGGCCCCAGCTGCTGGGCCAGGCCACCCTCAGTATCACACCAGCCCTTGCACCCTCAGCACGGTCACCGAGGCGCCGAGGATACACACAGGCACTGACCTGAGCGAATTCTTTTTATTACGACCGAACAGGTGAGCGGAGTGGGACACCCAGCCTTCCGCCAGCAGCCGCGTCTCCACACAGGCCGCCCGCCCAGGCACCTCGGTCCTAGGCCCAGCTAGTCCAGGGGCCCTCGTGGGCAGCGGGGCAGGAGAGGGGGGAACGAAGCCACAGGGTCAGGGCCCCTGTGGGGCACCCCTGGCCACGCCTACCCCACCTGCTCTGAGCCACTGGCAGCCAAGATCCTAGCAAGGCCAGGAGAGGGAGGCCTGAGGGGGAGCGGGGAGGAATCTCTAAAACAGCCCCACCCTGGAAACAAACCAAAGTGAGCCCAAGTCCCTCCTGGGAAGGAGCCCCAGCTCCCACGGGTGTATTTCTCTCAAACAGCAGAGCCCCCAGGGCAGGGGAGGGCAGGGGAGGGCAGGGGCGGGGGCCACACGGAAGACCAAGGAAAGGAAAGCCCCACAGGAGAAGGAAACTCAGACCGGCAGTCCCATAAACGTTTGTTGAGCGAACGAACGAAATCCAAAGGTCCTTCTTGACAAGCGGCACTCATCCATCCAACAGGAAAACCCCGGCGGGGGGCCAGTCCGATGCGTGGCCGCCAGCGTCTGGGGAGCCCACACTCGGCGCGCCCGGGCCGGGTGGGGGGCAGCGGCAACCTCTCAGGCCTCCCGCCGAGCGTGCCCGGGGCGTGTGCGCACACGCAAGCACGTGCACCACCGTCTCTCTGCACATGTGCGCGCCTGTCGGCCGGGGGCTCACCTCTCCTTCCCGTGGTTCTGTGCCCCCGCGCCCCCGCCGCTGGCCCCTTCCCCGCCGCCCCCGCCGTGGCCCCCACCGCTGCACAGCACCTCCGTGAGGTCGTCCATGACGGCGGTGTCTTTGGAGTCGAGCAAGTTGAACTCCCTGGCGAAGAGGATGAAGTGGACGTAGAGCGTGTTCAAGTGTCCGTGTAGCTCAAGGGCCAGGGTCTCCTTGAAGTGGGACCAGTAGATGTGTGCCAACACGTGGAACAGGTACTTGCAGATCTTCTTCACCAGAGACTCGAAGGAGCTGGGGAATTCTCTGCCTGGGGAGAGAGCCCACCACGCAGTACCTCTCAGGGGCCTGGGCTCCCACCGTCAGGAAGGAGATCATCTGCAGGACTAGCCTGGAGGGCTCCTGCCCGCCACCCCCTCCCCGCTGAGCAGCCCACTGGCAGGCACCCGAGTGACCGGTCACCCTGGGCCTGGCCCCGAGAGCTGATCTGCGTCCAGGGGCCCGTGACCCTGCCATAGGCCACCCGAAGCCTGGACTCGGCCCGGGGTCACGTGTGCTTCCCTGACGGATGCTCTTGGGCCCCTACACGGCCTGGGCCACAGAGGAGGACGGGAACCGAGGTGCACGGGGGCCTCCTGCTGGCTCCGTATTGGCCTGGAGCCCCCCACCAGGACCTGCCCAGGCCGGGACACAGGGCGGCCGTTAGCGCTTGCTGGCTGTCAGGTCCCCAGTGAGGTGGCCTGCAGCAGCCCCACTGTACAGAGGGCGGAGCGGGCGGCAGAGGGCCCAGGGCCCAGGGTGGATGCGGTCTGGACCCGGGCTGCGCTGACCCCTGCCAGGGCGCACCTGCCTGGCCTTACAGCCCAGGGCACACAGCCGCCCCCATCCCGTAGGTCTGGCCCCTTCGCATCGGCAGCCACGGCCGCCCAGCAAGGAGGAGCGCAGCAGGGCAGAGACGTACCGTATTTCGTGGGGAACACATCCTCATCGGTCACCAGCTTCTGCACGGAGCTCATGACAAAATCGACGTACTGGGGAGCAGTGCACTTGACCTTCTTCCCCCGCTCATCGTACCAGTAGTACTGTCTGTGGGGACAGAGGGGGCCGGTCACGGTGCCCCACAGACACCCAGCGACTCTTACCCGCCCCCCCTCCGCCCCGGCCCCAGCCCCAGGGGTGGAGGTGTGGCAGGTGTCCAGGCTTCCCCTCCCAAAGTCCCCAGGGGAGACACACTGCTTCCCACCACCTGGAGACCCTCAGCTGCATCCCATAAGGGTCTGCCGGCACCGATTCTGAACGTCCAGGACAGAGCACGCCGTCTGAACACACGTGTACAACGTCAACAGAAGGCGTGTTCATTTTCTCTACCACGTGGCTGCAAGTTTCATTCCTTTAGAGGGACGCGTGTTTTGTATGATTTGAAGAGGCATGGAGGGCACGCTGTTTGCTGCTGCCCCGCCTCTTCCAGGGACACTGCTGTGACTTGTCAGCTGGGCCTCGACCCTTGGGAACACCCCTGCTCCCCCTACTAGGAGCCACATGCCCTCCACTGGCCCAGTGAGAACAGCTGGAACACCTGCGGGCAGAGACACCAGGATCTCTCACCGTGCGAGTCTCCCAGCTCGTGTGAGCGTGGACTGCCCCCCCGCCCCAGCGCTTCTCTCCCCAGAACACACACAAGCGCCCGGTGGGTACTCATCTGGCAGCCACCCTGCTCTCCCCACCCCTGCTCCCGTCTCCCCAGAGGGCTGCTGTGCTCCTGCAGGCTGGCTCACCAAGGGCTGGACCCGGAGCCACAGGAGGGCGGGGGGGGGGTGGCCTCTAGTCCGCTCAGGCGTGTGGTGCATGTGGGTGTGGGGCTGTACCCGTGAGGGACTGAGTGGCCTAGACCCCGACCCTCTCAGCCCCCTGCCCCAGCCAGATGACGGGCAGCCTTCAGGCACCAGGCTTCATACAGACGTTTCCCTCTGTCCGGCACCCCGTCACACAGCTGGCTTTACTTGGCCTCAGAATCAGCTTAGACTAGGTTTCCCCAAACCTCAACATCCCACCTTGCTCGGGGACCCCAGACTGGCTCAGAGTACCCTGCCCTGATTTGTTGCGTGTACCAAGTACCCCTGGATGACAGCCATGAGGGCTAACCCACTGCTACCACCCTGTCAGGCCTGTCCTCAGGACAGTGGGGGTCCCCATTTCCCATGGCCAGCCTGACCCTGGACAAGTGACCTCAAGACAGCTCCACGGCCACCGCCCCTGCTCCGGCAAGCCCACCTCCATCGAACAGGAACCGGGGCTCCGCTCCGCCCCAGGCAGGGTGTGGGGCTGGCCAGCAAGACCGGGAAAGCATGGCCTCCACAGTAATGGACAGGCCCTGGGAGGAGGCCAGCCTTCGTGGATAAGGGGACATGGCCCGACTGCCACTCAGCACCACACCTGCCCACTTGGGGGTGGAAGGTGTGGGGTGTGACTGGGGTGTCGGGGCTTTGCAGAAGGCTACTCGGCTACTCCGGGGCTACTCCTGGGCACTGCCACGCACCCACAGGGAGGCCGGGCTCCACAAGAGCCTGGTGCCAGGTGCCCCACAAGGCCCAGGAACATGAGCGGGCAAGGGAGCTAGTTCAGACAAAGCCCTAAGAAGCTTGCCAAATTCCTGCTTGCCCCCAGGAAGTAGAAATCCAGCAGGGCGCTGCCGTCCGTTAGAACACCTGCCCGAGCACCCTCCCCGCCACAAGGTGGCTCTGCTGACCCTCCTCCCGCCTGCCCAGACGTGGGCACAGGGCGGGTCAGATCACCTGAGGGCGAGAAGACAAAGCCCCTTTCTGTGTCACTCTGGACAGCCTGAGGGGGTCCCTGTGCGGGGAAGTGGAGGAGCCCGGCCTCCGGGGGCCAGGCTGAGGCCCATGTCTGCAGTGAGGTCCAGAGGCCAAGGCCCAAAGGCTGGGCGGGCGTCACAGACATCTGCTCCACCAATCTGCCCGGCACCGCCCGCGGACGCTGATGCACCTGGCCACAGGGGCCAGAGGGTCACAAAACACAGCTGCAACTAGAAACTGGGACACATGTCTCCCCAACGTGCGGCCCAGAGAGACTGGCTCCTGAGGGACGAGGACTGCCCCATCTGTTTGAAAGACGAGACCCTGTGCTTTCAATGTTCCACTTGTTTTCATTTTTAAGTTACCGGGCAGTACAGAGAACGCGTTCTGGCAGGCAGGCCTACAGCTTCACCTGTCCAGACAGCCAGGCAGCTCCCACCCCCTCCCCCGGTCAGTCTCCAGCACACCAGGGATGGCCCCAGGGGAACGCCACAGGACGTCCTGAGCCGGGCTCCGGGCTCCAGCCATGTCTCAGTGTGCGCCCCGCGGACCCCGCCCCCGCCAGCGTGGAAGGGCCAGCGCGCCCAGCCGTTCCCCCCGCTGGAAGACACCTGGCTCGTTTCCAGTTTGGGGCAGTTATGGCTCCACCTATTATAAATGCTCCCGGGCAGGTTTCTGTGTGAGCACAAGCTCTCGCTTGTCTAAGACGAACATTCCGGATCTGCACTGCTGGGCCCGTAAGAGGCCACCAAACCACGGCCGGACTGGCCTGTGCATCGCTCTGCTGCCATGTCCCTGCCAGCACGGGGCCTGCTGTCCCCACCTGCTGCTCTAGGGGCTTGTCCGCTCTCCTGGGTCCTCTCCGCTGACTTGTGTGTCCAGGCCTGGACCCACTGGGGACCAGCTGCTGTTCGCACGCCCGAGTTGCGAGGGTTACTCACACACTGGGCGCCGGTCCCCTCTTGGGTATATGATTAGCCCATGATTTGTCTATGTTTTCTCCTAACAGCGTCCTGATTCTCAGAGCAGAAGTTCTAACTGTGGCTTATGCCCGACAGTATTACTGATTCTTTCTCATCAATGAGCCTTGTGTCATGGCCAAGAGCTCCTCGCCTAGAGCTAGGTCATGGAGATTTCCTCGTTTTCTTCCAGAAGTCTTACAGGTTCACAATTTAGAATCCATTTGGAGTTAATCTGGGCATAAAGGTTTTGGTCAAGATTCACGTTTTTTTTCTTTTTTTGCACACAGGCGACTGGTTTTTCCACCAGCATCAGTTGAAGGGACTATCCTTTCTGCACTTTCTTCTTCATCTTTGTCAACAGTCAGAGGGCCGCCTTTGTGTGGGTCTATTTTTGGACCCTCCACGGCCCCCCCGATCTGTGGGTCTGTCCCCGACGCTGTCCTGACAGTGGGACCAGGACTGTGCTCGTCCATGCGCAGTCAGCCAGTTTGTCTCATTCTGCAAAAACCGTGCTGGGCCTCGCACCGAGAGGGAAGGAAGTGAGCAGACGGACCCGGCAGAACTCCCCCTCGGCGCCATGCTGGCTTCTCCACGGCTGCTCCCCAGCACCTCGCCCTTCGCAGTGCGAAGACACGTGTCTGTGGGGCTGTTGTAAATGGTGCGGTTCTCTTAGTCTGGGGCTCCAGCTGTACACTGCTCGATGTTTCCTACACAACCATGCCGCACACAGTACTTGGGGCACTTCTAGTTCTTCTGCACCAGGATGCCTTTCATCCCTGGTTTCTTGCTGTACAGCACTGTCCATTTGAGTGAATTTTGGTATTTTGTTCCTACCAAGGAACTGGTCCGTTCAAACTGTCCAATTTACGTATGTAGGGATTTTTGGTATGTTTCCTTCATATCCTCTCAGTATCTGCTGAGTTTATAGTGACACCGCTTTCATTCCTTAGACTGATACTCTACACCTTTTCTCTTTGTCAATCTTGGCCTATCAATTTTATTGATCTTTTCAAGAAATCAGCTTCTGGTTTCATGGATTTTCCTGTTTTCAGAAATCAATTTCAGTGATTTCTACTCCATTATTTCTTTTTTCTGCTCAATTTGGGTTTATTTTGTTCTTCTTTTTCTAGTTTCTTAATATGGAAGCTTAGTTCCCGATTTGAGATCCTTCTCCTACAACAAACACATAACCCTATAAATTCCCCTCAAAGCTTTGCTGTGTCCCACAAATTCAGGTATGCTGCGTCTTCATTTGTGCTCAGCTTAAAACATTTCAAATTCCCTCTGAGCCTTCCTCTCTGACCCGTGGATTATTTAGAAACGTGCTCATTCCCAAGTGTTTGGAGATTTTCCTGTTATCTTTCTGTTACTGATTCTAGTTTAATCCCATGACAGTCAGATAAGGAATGTACTATGATTCTGATTCTTTAGAGTGTGCGAAGGGCTGTTTTGTGAGCTGGGATGCCATCTCCTTTGGTGACTATTCATTCCGTGCGCACTTGAGCAGAACGCGTCCTTCGCTGTCGACGGTGAAATGCATCCAGCCCAGCTGGCCGATGGTGCTATTCCGTCCTGTATCCTTGCTGACTTGCTGTCCACCAGCTCCGTCTGCCTCCAAAAGAGGAGAGCTGAAGGTTCCCACTCTGAGGTGATTTCTGTCCGTTCCTCTCAGTTCTGTCCATTTATTTTGTGTAAAAGCGGCTACTTGGTGCACACGCATTCAAGATCGATACTTCTTGATTAACTGATTCTTGTAAATATGCAATCTTCTTTATCCCCCGTGGTTTACTTTGCTCTGAGGTCTTCGGAGTCTGGGATTCATAGAGCCACTGCAGCTCTCTTCTGATGGCTGTTCTGTGGATACAGCTTCTCTATCCATTTAGTTTTAACCTACAGACGTCAATGCACGTGAAGTATTTTGTGAACGCTTACAGCTGGCTCAGCTCAGAAATCCACTCCTGCACAGTGGAGCCCCTTCACCTGTGGTTTCACTTTCCCTGGTCTCAGTTCCTCGTGGCAGCGCCGTCCAGAAGCAGACACTGCTCCTCCTTCGGACGCAGCGTCCGAGGCTGAGGACGATATAATGGCGTACCACGCCCACCTGCCTCAGTGCCCCCCCTTCACTGCACCACATGGGTATTTCATGGTCGCACGCTATCACAAGAAGAAAGTGGGTACAGCGCAATAAGAGATCTTGAGAGACCACATTCACATAACTTTTATTACGGCGCACTGTTGTAACTGTTCTGTTTTTTTGTTTTTGTTTTTTTTTAAGATTTTATTTATTTGACAGAGAGAGACACAGCGAGAGAGAGAACACAAGCAGGGGGAGTGGGAGAGGGAGAAGCAGGCTTCCCGCCGAGCAGGGAGCCCGATGCGGGGCTCGATCCCAGGACCCCGGGGATCATGATCCAAGCCGAAGGCAAACGCTCAACGACTGAGCCACCCAGGCGCCCCGTAACTGTTCCGTTTTATTACTAGTTATCTCTGTACCTAATTTATCAATGAAATTTTACCACAGGCCACAGGGTTCGATGCAGTCCAGAGTTTCAGGTGCCCAGCGGGGCTGGAAGCACAGCTCCCATGGCTGGCGGCCGACTCTGGGAGCTCTGTTTGGCCCTCTGACATTTATGGGATTTCTGGTGTGTTTGAATTTTTTACCACCTTTGTTTACCGCTTGTTCCTTTTGCTTCTCGTCCCTTGTATCTCCTCTTTCCTGCCTTCTTTTGGGTTATGATTTAGTCCTTCCTTTCAGTTTACCCATTATGACTTCGACTACATCATTTACACAACTTTTCAGAGGTTGCTCACAGGAGTATAAAATACATACTCCACCTGCTTTCCACGCTGTCTGTTACACCAACTTCCCGCCACTCCAGTGGGAGCACCGAGAGCCCAGCCCACCGCCGTCTCCTCTGCTGTGACCCATCAGACGGGTGTGGCTCAAAGCGCTCCACACGGCCAGTCCCCAGGTCCATCCCTGTCGCTCGTCCTGCACAGACGGTCCCAGTCCCCTCGCTCTGGGATTCCCTGCAGGAGGTCTGCCGACTGTGGATGCTCTTAGTTTTCCTCCATCTGAGAAAGGTCCGTATTTCACCTAAACCCTTGAAGGATACGTGTGCTGGAAGGAGGACTGTGGGGTGGACTGCTCTTTCCTTTCGGTGCTTTAAAAACGTGGCAGAGCTTCCTTGTGGCCCAAGGCTTCTGATGAGCGCTGCAGTCACTCGCCTGTGTCCTCGAGGGTTGGCTCTGCTCCGGGAAGGCCTTCTCTTTGCCCAGTTTTGTGATGACGTTTCTGTGCATGGACTCCTCAGTTTGTCCTACTTGGAGTTCATTCAGCTCCTTGAATTTGTAGGTTTGTGTCTGCCAAGCTTGGAAAGCTTCAGCCATTATTTCTTCAAATACATTCTCCGCGTGGCCCTTTCACGTCACCTCGGGGACTCCAACATGACCCTCTGGTTTCCATGTCTAGGCCCCACTCCAGGCCCCAGGCAGACACGTTGGTCCTGGGGCAGCACGCAGCTCTGGGACCTCTGGCAAACCCGCTTTCTTCTCTTCAACTAATTTGACATCAAACAACTGCTAGGAAGGCAGTAAGTATGCCAGGGCCCGTAAGCCTGAAAGACCCTGTGAAGGCCGCTGCCGTCGAGAAGAACAAGAAGTGGGCACCCCAGGCTCACAACAAGCTCTACGTGCTTTCCAGGAGTCTCTTCTCAAACACGGGGATACCGAAGGAAACATGGGAGCAGAGGAGACCAGCTTCCCCACCCGCCTGCCCTACGGGCCACCTCGGATACCGCTGGGTCGGGCCCAGCCAGCAAGCGTCCTCCTGAGCGTGCCACACACACACGGCAGCTCTAAAACACCGTCCTCACCCGCCTCCAGCATCTGCCGCTGGGCAGTCTACTCTACCGAGGGCCCCTCCCTCCCATATCACTGTCCTCCAAGCTCACCAGCCCCAACCTCCCCTGGGGCATCCCTGCCTGTGGCCAATGGGGGGACATGTAATGCCTGGGCTCCCATCAGCGGCCTTTTCTGGGTGACAGAGTGGAGAGCCAACTACTGTCTACATTTGCTCGCACAGGACCTAGCCCTGAGCTGTGACCTGCTGAAGCCACAACAGCAGGGCCTGGCGGGGCTGAGAGCCAGGCCTGTGCCAAGGCTCATGGGCTCTCAGCGACAGGAGAGCTCCACTTGCCTGCGTTTGAGCTAGGTCTGTGCCCAGGAGCATGGCCAGCAGCATCTGTGGGCAGGATGAACTCAGGACAGCACACAAAATGTGTGTTCGCCAGCAGGGGCTAGCGGCTCATGCGTACTTGCCTCGGCCCCTGACCTGCAGCCCCGACAATAAAAAGGAGGTATGAGAAAGGAGCTTCCGTGCCACCTCCTTAGTCACAACAGCCCCAGGCTGAGACCCAGCACACCTGGCCTCCTGTCTGAAGCCACCTTCCATCCCTTCTGCTATTAGAGGCCAAAGGCAAGTCTGTGCCGTGCAGTGGCTCTCCTCCCCACACCCCAATCAGGAGCTGCTGCGAATCCAGTGAGGTGCCTCGAAGCCCCCTTGGGGTACCTGCCTACTGAAGACACGAATGTGCACAAGCTTCCGGAAGAGAATGAACAGCACCCAAGGCCCACTGAAAACTCACTGAGAAGGCATCCCGGTCCCACAAAACCAGCCAACGAGGAAGGCAGTGAGTGCCCTCCTCCACCCCGTCCCCTCGCTGTCTCCTTCTTCACTCCCTCCCACAGGGCGGGAGCTCTCGGGAAAAGCCATCCTTCAACTAAGTGAAGCAGAGAAGCATCTGCAGCTTCCCGATGCTCTGCTGTCTTAGGAAACCAACCTAGGCATGTTCACCCCTAGCCCCAAGGAGCTCGGCCACCAGCCTCTGGCCGGCTCCTGGCACCCCGTGCCCCAGCAGGACCCACGCCACCGAGTGCCTCCCCTTGCTGGGCTCTGCCTCCTGTGTCCCTGCCCCACGGGGATAGGAGGTGCAGCCCCAGCCAGGACACGGCTGAGGAGACCCCGCAGGGGCGCCATGAGAGGGTGCAGGGGCTGGGCCACAGCCCGGCAGCGACTCACGTGTTACACACGGCCATCGTCTGGCAGGCCTCTCCCGTGCAGAACTCTGAGATGGTGCTGTACTGCAGGTTGACGTGGTGGAAAAATGTGGTGGCTGCGAGGGACGAGAAGGACCAGGTGTGAAAACCACCACTGCAGCATGCTGTACGTCCCAGTGCCCTGCAGGCCCAGGAGGCCCGGCACTTCTTCCCGCGGGCCCTGGGGCAGCCAGCACGCGCCACAGACCAGAGACACACGTCCCGGCGCAGAGCACCGGCCCTGGAAGACGGCCACCAGCCACTGTCTTGGGGGCTGGCACGTGTTTGCACAGCGCCAAGCTGGGCAGAGCGCCAGCGGCCATCCAGACGGCGTCCCCTCGAGGGGTGGGGCAGGCCTGCCCAGCGGGTGGAGGTGAGAGCCACCCTCCCCTGCGTGGGTCATGGCCTTGCAGCTGCACACCCGCTCCACAGACAGTCCCCGGCATGGCAGCCCGTCCCTGGTACCCTCCCCGGTGGAGACCCTATGTGCACTGCAGGGCCGGCCACCAGCTCCGGGGAGTCCCCGAGGAGGTGGCCACCTGCAGCCGCTGTGGTGCCCTTCCCCACCCCATGCCACACGCACTGTTGCTGGCCAGCCACTCGTTGAGGTCGATCTCCCGGGGCAGCACCACCAGCTCCTTGAAGCCGACGTCGGTGATTCTGGACTTGGTGTACTCTGGCTCCAGGTACATCTTCTTCTCCTCGGCAGCAGGCTTCTTTCCGTTGGGCTTTGCTTTAGACTTCCTGCCGGAGAGAAGGGAGCAGAGGGTCACTGCATGACAAACGCAGGCATGGAGGCCACGAGCTAGGTCCTGGGACATTAGCGGGGCTGTCCCTGCCAGTGGGACAACCGGGGGGCTCTTCCTGAGACACCCCAGGAGATTCTGCTCCCAGTTGGCGCCAGGAACGGAAGGAAGCTGCCTTTGTCCTCCCCTGCCACTGTCGGGCCCATGGCCTGACCAGCTGAGCTCCCTGCCACCACAAGGGGCAAGGAGGCAGACACACATTGCCGGAGGCCCAATGCCGCAGGGCCAAACCTGGAACGCACGACAGGCAGGCAGCTCTGGGCCGCCGAAGGGCTGGGGTGGTGACCACACTAGCCAGGTTCCAGGCCCATGGATGACACTGCAGCCACCCTGGCCCACAGGCTTGCCGGGTGGGACACAGGGGTGAGTTTTCCTGGCCCAGGCCCCCCACCCTTCTGTGCAGCCGACCCGGCCACCCGGCCTTCCAGAGCCCTTGCTGCGTGCTGACACAGCTGGAGCTCCCCTGCACAGCCCTGTCCTGCTCACCTGGGTTCCGTGCCAAGCACACAGTGCAGGATCCGGGCAGGGACAGACAGACAGGTGGGCATGAACCAGGCCAGGCATTACAGAGATCTGCTCAAAAGACCACTCTGCACCAAAAGGTTTTTTTTTTTTTGCTTACAGAAATGGTTACTTTCCATGAAAATATACTGTCATACAAAAACAGAATGGGCTTGTTATAGCTACTTTTATAGGACTAAATACATATATTTGAAATGTCTGTTTTCATTCAAATCCAGTATCAGTACCTAATAAGCCCCATAAACCAAAGTTCTCAGTGCTGAAGAGGCCCCCTCCTTGGTGGGGGAGCTGTGGGCCCCAAACCAGCCTCCCGCCAGCCGCCCAAAGGCTGGAGCCAGGGCCATGGTGTGTGCAACCTAGGTCCACAAACAAGATGGAACACCCCCTAAGAGGGCAAGGTGACCAACACAGTGGCCCAGAGCCCCCAGCTGGGAACACAGCCCAGGCTGGGTCTGTCATAAGTCACTGAGTGTCACACTGGAGCCCACACTGGGCACACGGGCCTCAGAGCAGAGGACCCAGTGGAGGGCCGTGTGCAGATATGGCCCCTCTCAGCAGCAACCGCCCAACGTGGAGGTGCAGGAGGGTGTAGGCTCCCCGCCATCTGGGGAGCAGCTCAGAGCAATGCTGCAGTCCTCCTGCACATGCAGGGACTCTCCAACCCTTTAAGGTTTAGCACTGGGTTCCTGGCAGTAAGTTTGAGAAACTGAAGGAAAATGCCTAATAACATGAATGAGTCTCTTGGTTCTTAGTTGGACGACTAAATTCTTCAATGGTACACACCGTGACTTGTAGAATCAAACTGCAGATCAATACTACCAGGACGTCTTACTGACCAGAAACGGCCACCTTTGGCTATGAACTCTCAAGGAGGGGTCACCCCCGCCCCAAGAGCAGAAACTCAGGGGAAGTGTGTACACCTGCCCTGGCGACAGGAAAAGACAGCCAGAGGTCTCGGAGTTCCAGGAGACACATCCTTCAGAGCCCCCAGTCCTGCTCTGCAGTGCGAGGGCAGGAGTGAGCACGCTCCCGCCACGGCAAACCCACAGGCACCCCTGTCGGGATGGCCACGGGCCCCCTGCACACCTGGGAGGGTCGTGGTCGGGGTGCTGGCTGGGCCGGAGGGCTGGGGGCAGGCAGGCTGAGGACCTGGACTCGGGGGCCACCAGCCGTGGCCAGGCCCCACCCGTTTACACCCTCAAGCTCCGCAGCGTCTACGGAAGGAGAAGCAAACCAGCTCACTCCTGGCCTCTGTCTCTGGCCCAGCTGCCCAAATGGGAATGCTCCGCGGGTCTTGGCTGGGGCACAGCCTAATGGGTGGCTGAGCTGGACACGGCCATCCTAAGCACTCAGGGCACCCAGCTCCCTGTGCGCCCCTCCCCTGCCAGCCCTGCTCCAGTAAGGGCGAAAGGTCTCTGCAGCTCCCTGACCCTGTCCTTCTCTTCTTCTGTTTTGAAAAGTTGCTAGTGGTTTATTTAAGAGAAACAGGAAGGAAAAATGCTCCCCGAATGCCAGGGAAATGTTTTCCCTCAGCTTCTCAGCAAATCTTCTCCTTAAAAGGCGACGTGTTCTCAGCCTCCTGGTGCACCACCGGGAGTGGCCAGTGCCACGCAGGGCCACAGTGTCCTGGGGACAGGGCAGGACAGACCCCCGTGACCTGGAGCAAAGGCATGGATGTTTCTGTCTCTCTTGATCTCTGTTACATACACAACTGCAGTGAGCACTTCAGGGGTCCCCTTGGGTGGTGGTGGGGGGAGGCTGTTCCCTGGGGACAAGTGTGGACACACGCTTCTCAGGGACCTATGGTCCCTTGGCCCAAGACAGCGAGGCTCCCACCCTTCCCCAGAGCATGGGAGGGCTCAGGGAGCCCAGGGGCTCTGCTGATGCCCTCAGATGCTCCACCAGGAAATGGGTGGGCAGGCCGTTTCGCTCCCTGCCCCCTGCCCTTCTCCTGACCCTGGTCTCTGCTACTGAGTCACACGCCGACCTGTCAGAAAGCCTGACGTTGCCTGGAAGATGTCCCGTGCCTACAGCCCCAGGCATGAGGGACCAGCCCACGGGACACACGTTCAGCCTGCCCTGGTTCTGCTCTGCTCACCCCCCACCAAGTGTCCGTCTGCTGTGCAGGTTCTCCACTGCATCCAGGCCCAGTCTGACACCCGCCCCTGCCTCACCTTGACTCACACCTGGCTAGGACCACCCCTGAGCTGGCCACACATGCTGGGCCTCAGCTTCGGGGTCTAGAGGGTCCTATGACCACACGTGTAGGGATGGGGCCCGTGGGGGCCTGTTGTCCAGGAGCCATGTCACCAAGTGATGAGGACCACACATCAGAACCAGCCCAGGGGCAGCTGTTAGTGGAGCAGCAGCAGGAACTGGCTTGGTGCAAGACGTGCCTGGGGTGACACACAGGCCCCCTTGGGGATGCTGCCTGAGGAAGGGTGTGGCACCCTCGTGCTGGCAAGTCCATTTCCAGGGGAGACTGGGAGCCCCTTTGGGCCGACTCTCCAAGGGCCAGGCAGGCAGCCGCGGGAGGATGTGGGCTGCGACGTGTGTGTGGTCAGAAGGCCTCAGCCTCCTCACCCTTCTCCCCTGCTGCTGTCCGCACCTGTTGTCCTGCAACAAACTGGCCAAACAGGCAGGTGCACACCAGGCCCGCCAAGCTCGACTTCTCCAAGCTGGTTCCCCTGAGCTCCCCTGTCCCCATCATCCAGGGCAGGCCTGGGACCCCTGGACCACCGTGCAATTTGGGATGACCCCTGTGCCAGGCCCGGCAGAGCAGAAGTCTGTGGAGCCTGGTCATGGGGTCCTCTTTCCTTCAGTCCCACAGGCAGGCAGCAATGATGGGCACTGACCCAAAGGCGGCAGGACAAGGTACAAGCCAGGGCCCCTGTGTGGAAGTGGTCCCACAAGCCCAGCCACACGGGTCCCTCCCACCCTAGTTCTGTCCTGGCCACTGCCAAGCCACTTGGCCCCTCTGGGTGGCAGACGTGGCCCTGGCCCAGTCCCGCTCCTCTGCCACCAGCAGCAACAAAGCTGAGCTTTCAGAAAACGCCCTGTGGCTTCCAGGTGGAACAGGCTACGTAACACCGTCCCTGTGGCCACACGGATGGAGGACACAAGACCCTGCGCCCCCGCCCCACAGGCACCGAGCTCTGGAGCAGGTTCTGTCCAGCCAAGGCCCAGAGGGCTGCCCGGGGGCCACACGCCTGAGCTCCTCCTCTCTGGCTCTCCCCCCACACTGCTTGCTGGGACCCCCACAGCGGCAGCAAAAGGTGGAGTCCCTGGCATGGAGCTGCACTGAAGGGACCAGAGGGTGGACACAAGGCTGAGGCCTGCCACAGGGCCTGCTGGCACCTTGCGGGGGGGGGGGGGGGGGGCGGTGTATGGCTACAGGCACATGCAGAGAACCTCCAACAGAACCCTACATGCTCTCCTGGTCTGACGGGTGGGCTCCAAGGCCGGGACACCCATTTGGGAGGGGCCCAGGCTCCACCAAGAACATCTTCCTACTGTCTCCTCACCCTCCCCTGCTCCTGACGCCCTTACCACCTCCGCAGGAGTCCCCAGACCCCACACAGCTTGGCCTGACACACTTTCTGTCCAATGTCACACCACCAGTCCCACCCAGAAGGCCCCTCAGTTGCTCAGTGTGAGCCGGCACCGACATGCAACCCATCCACGCTGAGCAAGGGGACACAAGGGTGGGGAGGGATGCCTGCCCGACAGTCAGCCCCAGGAGAGGAGTCTCCCCTAGGGACGCAGACACTCTGTGAGGGATGCACCTGCCCAGGAACGCCTGGAAACACTTGAGTGCCCCACGCTGATGCTCCCCACCAAGAGCTGGCCCCCACGGGCAGACGTGTGGCTGTCAGGGAGCAGTCAGTAACTGTCAGGTTCAGAACACAGACGCCTCCTCAAGGCCTCGCCTTGCTGAGGCAAAGGGCTGGTGGTCCCCAGGCACAGAGCAGGGCCAGCTGCGCCCAGCGGGGGACGCACCGAACCAGGAGAAGAAACGGGCAGGATAGACGGAGACCCCCCCCCCGCTTCCTCAGAGTCCTGCTCAGCCTTCTGTCCGCCCCCCGTCTGGCCCCTGCGGTGCTCACCGGATGCTAGCATCCCAGGACAGCTGCGGTTCTGGCCAGGAATGAGGCAGGGCAGATGCAGGAAGTCAAGGGGAGTCAAGCTGACCGTGGAGGAGGTGGGCAGTGACAGGGGCGGCCCCGTCCGGAGGCAGCCTCATGGGATGGAGACCAAAGATCCGGGGGTGGGGGAGCAGGGTTGTGAGGAACCATGGATGCGTGAACAGTGGGCCCACGGCACGCAGAGGCCCCACAGGAAGTGCTCCCACGGAAACAGAGCCTGTGCTGGTGGTGGTCTGGGAAAGGAAGGGCCCATGGAGAGGGCGTCTGAGGGTGCCCACCCTCCCGGGTGCAGCCCACCGCTCCCCACAGCAGGCTAACGCAGGAGGGAGCTCCCGGGCCCAGGCCTGACCAGCGCAACTATCTGGGGTGGCGTGCTGGGTGCAGCAAGAGCGGCCCGTGGGTCCCGTGTGCACAGGACCCACCTGCTCCCAGGGGGCAGCAGGGCCCGAAGTCCAGGCTCCTCCTGACCTCCTTCCTAGGACACTGAGGAGAGCACAGGCTCCGCAGGGATTTCAGTGACAGCCCTGTCACCGGGGCGGTCAGGGCACACTTGGGCCCACCACCAGGGCCAGACATCTCCCTCAAGCCCGGGCCGAGTGAGAACACCAGGGCTTGGCAGCACTCCCAACCCCCAAGTTTCTGATGCAGCGGGCCTGGAGTGGGGCCTGACGACCACCTGACATGTGGAGGCGCCCCGCCTGCATCGCGTTCTTGCCACTCCTAGCACCCCGGTGTCACTGTACTCCCTCCTGTCGCAGAGCCTCGGAAACCAAAAGCTAGGAGGACCCCCCATGGGACCCTCAGCAACTCCCCACGGGCTACGGCCAGCCGGATGCTGTGGAGAGGGACAAGCAGGTCATTTCTCCTCCTGGTTTAACTGCCCTGCGGTCAGCACCCCCAAACAATGCATGCTTTCATAAGCCTTTGTGTCCCCTATAAAATGAGACCCACCAAGACGGAAGAAGCCAAGGCAGACTGAGAAAAGTGCGCAGACACCGTGGACCCAACGTCCACGCGTGTCAGGCGCTGTTGCGAGCTGTCTGACCCACAGCTGGAGCCACAATGTGGCCACGATGCTCAGAGTTCGAATTTTACTTTCACTTCTCCATCGGTGAAGTAAGCGCTCGTCCTCTGACGCTGGGCTGAGAAGCCACCTCCGTCGTGAAGTCCTCTCAGATTCCCCCAGTAAGGAGGGCCTGGGCCTCCAGTCTCCCACAGCGGCACGCCGGTGCTCGGCCGGGTCGGTCTTGCCTCTGCCTTCTGCAGAACCCGCATCGGCATTCGGCTCTCTCCCACCACACACACACGCACAGACGTGCCCTCACCCACAGTGCACGCACCCACAGTTCCCTACACACTCCCAGTGACGGTCATCGTTCCCGGTTTGAACCAAAGACCTGGAGCAAAGCACCCACACCCTGCCGGCCGTTCTAAATCTCACACCCTAACATTACGAAAGGACAGCTTTGGCCAGCTAACAGGTGGGACCTCTGGTTTCCACTTAGAATTCACTGTGAGTCCTCCCGTGCGGCACGCAGGTGACCGGCTGTGGGGAAGGACCCCATGGAAGAGACAGGCAGAAACCAGAGGTGCCCACAGACAGGCTCCAGAACGGCCTCCGTCACCACGCCGACCACCAGCTGGGCCTGGCTTCCCCTCAGACCATCACACCAAGAGGCCTGCTTACTTTGGCTACAGTTGGAAAAGCAAGAGACATTCACTTTCAATTTTAAAAACGACCCACTGAAGTCTCAGGCAAGTGCAAGATGTTCATACTGAAGGGAGCCAGATCTGAGTCGACTGTGACGCAGGCTCTGCCTGGGCTCCTGACTCCTGCGAGCACGGGTGTCGGCGCCCCTCGGAGCCCATCTTTGGGGTCAGCCGGCCTGCTGCTGCGGCCCGCCGCCCCCACACCCTCCCACCAGCAGGCCGCACTTGCTCTACCCAGAGCCTGAAGCAGGCTTCTACTCACAGAACCGGCAGTGGAGTGAGTTTCTCTAGACCCCTCTGCAGGTCAAAAAAGAAGTTAAAAAAGCTGTCAGAAGTGGCTTTTCTGGCAGCCCCCAGCCCCACAGCTATGGCCCATGTCAGGTCTCTGGACAAGGCCACTCCTGGATAGGCTCCGGTCATCCCACCTGGGGACAACGGGACACACACCCTGCCGCCCTGGCAGGCTTGGGAGAGGGCAAGGCAGGACTGCCGTGGCCACAAAAGTGGTTAACCACGAAGAGGGAGATGGGTCCCTGGTGGGCCCCCTGTTCTCATCCAGATCCGCCAGGGCCGCACTCCCTCAAGGAGCACGAGCTCCCTCCCCCAAGCAACAGAAGTGCAGGCATTTAGGGAAAACCCGGCTCCAAACGAAGTTCCTGGCCAAATCCAGCCCCCCACCCCCAGCAGCTGTACACCGCCAGGACCTTAGCTGGGAGGCGTGGCAATTACAGCCATTCCTCCCCAGGCTGACCTGGGGTAGGAACCAGGGACAGTCAGACCGCCCCCACCATCCCCTGCCCGGTTCACCTGAGCACTTGGCCGACTGCCTGGAGCACCATTTTGCAGCTGAGTCCAGTTTTGGGGGGCTGGCTGAGCAGAGCTCGGTCTGTGGGGAGACTGCTGTGATCTCCAAGCATGGTGGGGCAGTGCAGAGATGGGGCAGGAAAGTGGGAGCCAGGGCACCAGATAGCCGCTCCCTCCTTCCTCCCCTCCCTCGCTCCTTCCCTCCAGGAGACCAGCCAATGAGGACAGCAGGGGAAGAAAGAAGGGCTCCGGCCTGGCAGAGACAAAAAGCTGCTCCTTTACAGGCAAAGGCTGGCCAAGTCTGGGTACATGAGGGAGCGTCGCAGTCGCCTTTTCAAAGTGGCACCTTGCGGGCACTGTATGGGGTTAAGGCCACTGCCGAGGAGACGGACACCTGCCTTGGGAAGGACCCATCAGCAAGGCCCTGGGGTGGTACCACAGAGCAGGAAGCAGCGCTGCCCCAGGAGCTCGGGGCGGCCAGCACACAGCCCTTACCCGAGCCCAGCCCAGCCGAGACGAGAAACCGGAAGGGGGTGGGCTGGAGGCTAGCCGGGCGCAGACAGGCTGGCCACGCACCTGCAGAGCACGGACACGGGCTGGCAGCACACCCACACGGGGGCAGCCGTGGACAGGTAAGGCTGGCTGGCTCCCAGGGCGCCCCGAGCAGGCACTGAGCTGGAACTGGGCAAAGACCGCTCTTGCAGGGCAGCCCCACAACGCCTTCCTGTGGGGGTACAAGAAGCTGAGCGCCCAAGGCCCTCTTTGCAGCTGTTGTAGACACAGGAGGCCATGAGGGACTGAAAAATGAAACGTCTCCAAGAGGATGGTGCTCTGCTCAGCCCTGGTTTCAGTTCTGACCACAGGGACCGTGTCAGCCCGTCCCCACGCTCCTTGCGAAGCCCCGCCCAGCACAGAGCACAGCCAGAGGTCTGCCAGGATCAGCTCTGCCCCCCACCCCCGAAGGCCACATCCCACAAAGGGCCCTACTGACCTTCTCATCCGTCCAAGCTCTACGCTACTCTGCAGGGACCACCCCAGAGCCACCGAAAGGACAGATCAACGTGCAACAGCACAAGGCAGCCTCTGCCCGCAACAGCGCTCCGGCCACCTGGGAGGCAGGACAAAAAAGGCCCCTTCTGTGCTGGCAGGACAGTGTCTCCGGGGCCACCCTGGGAGTCAGCATGACTCACGTGCTGCTGCCCAGGGGAGAGGCGCTAACGGGATGACCACACAGCCCCTGGCAGGTGAGATGCAGAGTCCCCGGGAGGGGAGGACCAGCCTGCGGGGCCCACAGCAGAGCACTAGAAGGTCGCTCCAGGCTCACCTTGTTCCACTGCCTGCCCTGGCATCAGAACCAGCTGTTTCTCCAGGAAGTCCTGGTCCCTTCTATTGGAGATGAAAACCTGACACTCGGCTGCTGGGTGGTACTCTCCTCGGTCCTCTCTGCTGACAGAGCAGGCAGGGAGACGCGCGTGCATCAGGATACACCTGAATCCCCATCTCTGTGCCCATCTGTATCTGCATAACCCTGTGCACAATGCCCCCGACAGATCCGTCACCCGTGGATCACTCCAGCCTCCTCCCCTGGCTTGTCTATAACCTCCCCCCCTCCAACAGGGAGACACCTCTGAGGAGCCACCAGGGTTTGAATCACTTAGTCAAAACCACGGCAGGGGAGCTCCACGCTGTGAAGGCAGCAAAGCAAACGGGCCCAGCACCTTTATTAATGGTGCAGGCAAGCGCAAGGACAGCTTAAAAGCAAATGGGAAGGGGCGCCTGGGTGGCTCAGTCGTTAAGCGTCTGCCTTCGGCTCAGGTCATGATCCCAGGGTCCTGGGATCGAGCCCTGCATCGGGCTCCC